AACCTTAACACTTGTACCCCCATAATATGCTAATATTTTTAAAAATTCAAGGTCTCAGCTGCCATCCACAGGGCATAACACAAAGGAGCGTCCGTTCTACCCACTCCCTCCCTGGCGGGGGGGGGGGGTCATGTGAAGGCTGCTGCTGCAAAGCTGAGTCCCTTGCAGACCTGGCACCATGCACCTGAGAGCTCAGGGTGGTGTCGGCTCAGAAACAAGACCGACTGCCACCAGATGCTTACTGCGCCTGTTCTCTGGTGCAGTGACTATGCACAGACTCTAGGCAGCTGTGGCGGTGGAGGGAGCTCGTGAAACTCGAGCACTCTATTCTCCTAATCTTCCCCACATGGAGCTGCCTCCCCACAGATCACTTAGATCTTGTCAAATGTATCATCCTGTCACCTTCTCCTTCACTCAGAATGTCCTGCCTCACTTCTCTGTGGTTTCACAATGTTCCTTCTGAGAAGGGCTATGCAAAGTTAGGCATCTGCCTGCAGTTTACACTCCTTTCCTTGAGAGCAGCATTCTTGTGGCTGCTTCTATTCTATCATCTTCTCCATCCAGCCCAAGCTGTGTTTTTCTTAAGGCCCTACAGACCAAAGCTGGACAGCAGAGACTTCAAGGGAAATAACAGCAACTTGTATATAAACAGTCCTTGTGCATGCTAACGTGGACTTCTCAGAAAATTCACTGAAACACCCAATATAAACTGCAAAGCAGGAAAAAATCTGTCAGATTGCCACTATCTGCTCTTGCTTCATCTGAAGATGCTTCAAGCTCAACATCTAAAAATCTTTTCCACTGGCTGCCCTCTGGACTGAAAGACTGAGTTTGTAGTTCGTTCTAACCATTAACCTTTGTTTTTCTTTTGTTTCCATAAAAATGCCTCTTGCTACATATCTGATTGCTTACATCACATAGAGGCCTGACTTTGGCGGAAGCCCGTGTGCAACAGCACTGCCTGAAATGAGAACTGTTTAGCAGGACTGGCCGATTCTCAGGACCGAGAGCTCGTTTAATGGCTTATTAGATGACCAACCAACCCAATTTCTGGACTGCAAAGCTTCTTGGAAGTTTCATACCAAAGGAATGATGGATTTCAGAAAATAGTACCCCAAAATGAAGGCCTCAGAAGCAAAAGTTTTTCTCTGACTTCTTGTCTACTGCCTCTAAGTTCTGTTCTTCCCTGAGGCTAGCCATAAAAACTAGAATCTTGTCTTTCCCAAGGCAGGTCATAGAAGCCGGAACCCCTTTTCCTGAAAGCCAGCCATAAAACCTAAAATTATTCTGTGCAAGAACTGGCTGTAAAGAAATTATCTGACCTACCTTGTCTGACAGTAGTAGGTCATAAGACCCCCATTGCAGAGATGGCCCTGCCCCATACCCAGAAGGAAGGAAGGTATTCTCAGAGAGGCCAAAAAGAACCTAGACAGACAGACAGGCCTTGCTAGGTTTCCCCCACGCAGTCTAATTAGCATTTAGATCAT